TCACCCAGTCTCCATTCCTTCAAAAAATGTTAAAACCTACTTCTTCATAAAAGCGTATCAATTAAACTGTTAATCGCTCCCGACTGATTCCTCTCTTACAACTGTCATTAGTCTAATACTATCCTTACCTTTTGTGTCACTTTACCCCACTCCTTCTAGCATGTAAGCTCATTGAGCAGGGCCCTCAACCCCTCTGTTCCTGTGTGTCCAACTTGTCTGGTTACAACTACATGTCTGTTCATCCACCCATTGTAAAGCGCTGCGGAATTTGGCGCTGTGTTAATAGTAACATAATGATAATAATACACTACCTACCAGTATTGTAAGCCCTAACTTTACTTACCTTGCAGAATGTCAGACTCTGTTTATGTGTTCCCAAGTGACCTGGTAACCTATATCTGAAAAGAACTCAGAGCACAAGATGGATTGCAGTTGGTGAAACGCGTAGTGGTAGTTAGGATGGGTTGAGCAACCAGAAGGAAGTTGTTGAACAGTAATTTATTTCTGTTCTTGATAGGACATGAGCTAAATTTGGCAAAAAACGGTTGTAATAATTTAACAGACCAAGATAGGACCTTAGTTGTGTCACATTTTGTGGAGTTGGAGCATCCTATAATGCCTTGACCTTCTCATCTGTTGTATGCAGCCCATGTTTGTAAATTACATGAGCACAAAATTTAAGACGATCCTGCATGAATTGGCATTTATCCAAATTCACTTTCAATCCATATTCCATAAGTCTTTGCAAAACTGCCTCTACATTCTGTTTATGTTCCTTCTCTGATTTACCCGTTGTAACTGCACCCCCAGGCATAAAAAGGTTAAACTGCCGTTTAGTAGATCTTCCCTTCCAGAGACACAGGCACAGCTACTGCAGAACACCAATCCGCCGAACAGGAAACCATATGAATGCCGTAAACAGCCGAATAGGAAAAACCATACGAATAGGTTTACACTCCTAGCAGTCGAACTGGAACAGCATACAATAAATCCCCCCAAGAACAAGACAAAGCTCCGTGTTGAGGGTCAAGCAGTGAACAGACAGAGCTGTGGGTTTATTGTTCTAATATACACCTTAGTACCACCCACAGGGTTTTGGAACACAACCAATAAACACATACAATACACTCAGACACTCCCACACAAAATCCTCCCCTCTGCCTGTGATACAATTACCTTACACAATGGGTAATGTAATTATCACAAGCAGAGAAATACAATTTTTCCACATTATTCATAACTTGAAAAGTATGCATCACATTCGCATAAAATACATTTCCAGAATCAGCATACTCCAAATACAAACATATGTCAAAATCATCCAAATTGGTCCAGTGGTTCAAAAGATAGATCGTAGTCCTTTGTGACCAAAGGAAGCATGACTTTTCTGCCCAAAACCAGTTCCACGGAGTCTTCTATCCTGGAGATAATTGGGAAGTAATCCAATTATCTCCAAGGACAGAGGCAAAACTCCATTGAACACATGGCAGCAAAAGACAATTAAACACATAAAAACATATAACTGTGCAGCCATTGCACAAAACAGGTACATTCAACAAATCCCCAAATAGCTCAGATCTGAGCGCACATTATTGCTGAATGGCGCTCAGAGCACACACATACAAATCAATTGCCATGGAGCCAAAGTCTTTCCCATAGTCTTTCATTATACGAATGGGCTCCATGGTATAGCTTTCTGGGTTATCACTGCTCAAACAGGGCCAGCAGCAAATGACCCGGCTTTCGTGTCTCCGCAGGGGAAAATCAAGCGTTTCAACATGGGGCCATAGTCTAAAGGCAGCAGGCGGGCAACCAGGCTCCTCCAATGCACAGTGGCGAGATTGGTCTCGTCACATCCGTCACCAGCATGTCATCTAACAGGCACTGTGTCCCAGGAACTCCAGCTAACAGCTTGTCCATTGTTTGCTGCCAGACAGCTGGTGCAGGTGAAATGCCAAAAACCATACGGTTATACCTGAATAGCCCCCGATGGGTATTAATCGTAAGTAGTGGTCGAGAATCTGGATCTACAGATAACTGTAGGTATGCATTTTTTAAGTCAATTTTGATGAATTGCTGGCCACCTGCAAATGATGCAAAAATATCATCTACCCTAAGAAGGGGATATTTATCTATTTTAAGCTGTGTGTTAAGAGCCATGCGGAAATCCTCACAAATCCGTATCTCCCCATTTCGTTTTCTCACAGGAACAATGGGCGAGGCCCACTCACTATTGTGAACCCGGGAGATGATATTCAGCTCCTCTAATCTCCTCAATTCTGCCTCCACTCCAGCCCTTAGAGCAAAAGGCACACTTCTTGCTTTAAAAAATTTCGGTGTTGCTCCTTCCTTTATTTCTAAGGAAACCTGTTGTTCCTTTACATTCCCTAATTGGCCATCAAACACTGGTGCATACCGGTACTTTTCCTGTAATTCCCTAATCCAGTCAAGTCTGGTCTGATTTTCATTCAACACATGACATGGATACTTATGCACTTGAGGCATCCCGAGAGCCTTTATCCACTCCCTACCAAAAAGTGGAGGTCCTCCATTCTCTAAGATATAGAGAGGTAATTTCTTCTTAAACTTGTTGAATGTAACTGTGGCTGTCACACAACCCATTGATATTAACAGCTCTTTAGAATATGTCTGCAGTCTCGCTGTTGTCTGAATTATTGGCCTATGTATTTTAAGGCATTTCCAGTCTGTCAAAGAAATCACTGATACAGCTGCACCTGTGTCCAAATCCATAGTCAGTTCCTTTCCATTTAAAACAACCTGAAATGTGAATGCAGCCAGATTAGAACCTATTTTATATATTTTTAAATTTCGGACTGGAAATCATTCATCCGAATCCTCAGAAGACTCCTGCGTTTGTACTCTATAGGCATTCTTTGCTCTGTCTCTCAAGCGATTACTGCCTCTCTCTGCTGTGGATTTACACACTCTTTGTAGGTGGCCCATTTTACCACAAGCATGACACTTGGCATCCTTGAATCTGCATGTAGTTGCAACATGTGTAGCAGCTCCACAGCGATAACATTTGTAATGTGAATGTTCCTGTTTTGAAAGTCTCTTTCCCTGTGGTATACTCCGTGCTCTAGCGTCTAATTGTAGGTTATGCTAACGTAATGTACCTATAATCTTAATTTTAATAATGACAGGAGGCGAGTATTTTGCATGACTTTCTTTACTCATGCCTCCAGCAGCACAAGTCAATCAATAAACTTTTAACCAATCATAAAAGAGTACATAACCATATATAAAGCTCTGATTGTCACATGACTTCCTCTTTCTTTGCTGCTTCCAGCCAAGGCACAGGTCACAGTATTCTGCTCTCACTATTTGTATATTATATGTGCAAATTTACTGTCTCTTTAATTGATGCTGGCTTATTCCCTCCTTTACTGTCTGTTCCCCTTTAAATACACTCAGTTTCTGCCTGCTCCCTCAGCTTCTTTATTGTTTTTGCTTCTCTTGTGGGGTTTACCCTGTCACTGGGACTGCACTTTCCTTTGCCTCTGGTCTGTTTTGGCATTTTACCGCGATCGCGCAAGATCGAGGAGGTCTTTCCAAGGGCTCCAAGGGCTGGGGGGTTAACTGGGGGACACAGGTGGGTGCCGGCCAGGACCGTCGGATCGCGTGCTGCGCGTCGAAATTTGCGCGGGAATGGCGGCCATCTTGGATCCCGCGGTATCGCGAACTGGCATAGAGCTTGCAACTGCTTTCCCCAAGGTTTTACATAATGTTTTAACACTGAAGTCCAAAAGTTAACCACTTACTCCCTGGCTATAGGGGAGTTACTACAGGCATATAAACTGAAAATAAAGCATAAA